GTGTGGAGAGGATGGCTGTAAGGGGAGAAGGGAGGCCATCAAAAAAAATAATAAAATAAAATAAAAAAATAAAAAAAAAATAAAAAAAATAATAAAAAAAAAAAATAAATGTGCCTGTGTGACAATTGGGACGAAGCTTTGACTCGAAAATATAGTTTAGTTATTACTTTATGGAAATAAAAAAAATATTGTATATCGCCATTCATCTTAAAATAGAGATATTAATTTAGGTCCATATCACCCAGTCCTACCTGAAGGGTAGGACAAATCTGAACACCTGTTCACCGTAACAGTTAAACAACGCATTACAGTCATTTTGGCTCTTACATGCCCCTTATCTTGAAAATGCAGCTTGCTTTAATTTATTTGCACACACACTATTGCACACTACTCGTGCTTAGTGTATATTTAGTTGATGTTTTTCTTAGTTCATATCTTAGATGTTATTACTGTTTTTCTTTTACATTTTATTGTTGGATGTAACTGGGACCTTGTGTACATAATTTCGCTCCACCACATGTACCACATGAGGTGCGAATGACATTAAACTCTGACTCTATAACTCTAAAAGTGTTGCTCTGTGCTAAAATACTTAAAATATTAATCAATATTATTTACCGAGTATATTTTCTCAACCCAAACGAGCAAAATTTTGCAACTCATATTAGATTCAGATGTGTCCAGCCCATCTTCATCCATTTTCTTTGCTCCGTTTTGGGTCGTGCAGTCACTGTGCAAGACGCAGGGTAGACCCTGGACAGGTCACAAGTCCATCACAGGGACAGACAACCTTTCACGCTCGCACTCACACGTAGGGTGACACCTGACAATGAACACTCAGCGCATAATCTGAGGTATGCTGCACTCACGTAGTGCGCAAAATGGTGAAACACTAAGCTGTCCTTGTTCCCCGTTCAGTCTACAACATTGTGACCATAATCTGGTGAGGGAGGGACACAAACATTTCAAACACAGCCTGGGAAAAGTTTAAAAAAGTTCATCTAGTGTCTGATCAAATACAAGAATGTAACTTTGCCATAAATGCTTTGACTGACACCAACACGCTCACCTTTCCTGTAAGGGCTGAAGGAAATTCTGACTCAAATTTGTTACTGAGTCCAAATCTGTGAAGGAAGCAGAAACAAACAAAAAAATTAACTTTCACTTTATTCAGTCAAGGATACGAGAACAAATACACCAGCAGCCTTTAGGGAGATCAGGACGGACTTATTCAAATGCGTTTTCAGATTAATTTACACAACTTATTCATCACTGCCTGCACATTCAAAGTCTAAACTAACTTCAATCGGTCACTTGTAGACAAGTTTTAAAATGATCGTTCTAAAAGATCTCAGGGTGCAGTGGAAAACAGTTTTAGCACCAAGAAAAAAATTAAGAACCGGGGCCTGCTCTACAGAACACCTTCATTTTTCTCCCCAACAGTGTGTCACGTAATCTCTGCAGCCGACAGAAACGTCCAGAAACTGATGGAACGCGTCCTTCATAAAAGAAAGGAACCGTCTGATTCACTGTGTAGTGAGGGTCAGTCTGTGTTGTTGCGTACATGATTGATAAAACGGTTACTGTAACCATTATCTTGCAAGAATACTGTAGATAAACAAATAGTCACAGTGTCAGACAACAAATATTCATGGCTGCAACTTTACTGGACGTTGACACTTGCTGTCAATGAATTAATCTTAGAGTGACGCAGGGGCTTGAATGCTGATGAGTGTTTAATCAATCAAGTCACATACTTTTAAGAAGCTGCAAAGAATGAGCGCCATTTACTTCCTCTTGTCTCCACTGATGCCGTCATGCCTCATTAAGATGAGAGTCTGCGACGGAGTTAAATAAATTCAGTGCACTCTAAAGTAAAAAATACTGTCACTACATATTTTGAGGAAGTGTAAAGACTTAAGTTGTCTTGTGATGAATTGTTGCGAAAACTTGAGGAAAAAAAACTCAAACACATAAAAATATATTGTGTGCAAACAGAATCAATTACGTTGATAATATTAATTCTGTTCCATGTTTTTATCACTTATATATTTATATATGGTTGCTTTTCTAGATTCCTGCTATGTCCACTGGTAATGCTGACGGCATTGCACATTTTAACCATGAAAATCAGTTTATGAACAGATATGCCTTTCAGAAACTATTCATCAGCTTTAGAAAGTTCTTCTAGGCAGACTTTTGTTCGTTTGTCCTCCATGCTCCTCATGTTCAAGCAGACACTACGTATGTTGTAATTCAAGTTGTCACTTGTATGGTTTTCTCCAGAAACTTGCAGTGAGTGTGTGTGTGTGTGTGTGTGTGTGTGTCAGTCTGTTTACCCAACATCAAACGGTGACGGAAAGTATATACATGTGTCTTTTACTCTAAAATCTCTATACACAGCTTAACTCACTTTCTTACAAACTTGCATTTTTACAGCAGTGGTTCCCAAATTATTAATCTCCAGACCCACAGAATAAGAGCGGCAGAGCGTGGACCCCCTGACAATATTTGGTCAGCGTATGCAAACATCACTGGTACACCATTTTAACAAAGGCATAAGCCAGAACTGACAGCATCACTTGAGACCCCCCAGACTGGTGTTTCACATCCCCCCAGTAGAGAACCACCATTTTTAGCACCCACTCCTTTACAGGAAGGTTATCTGGTCAGATTCATTACATTAATAATTTGTTTGCAGTATAGTCTATATTTATCAGAAACTATACTAACTCTGTAAACTTACAGTCGAATAGTTACATTTTAATTCGTTTACTCCTAATTTAGGAGGTCTGTCTTTATTTTTGTAGCGGACAGAATATAAATCCGGTTATTCTCATTTATTTGGATGAATGCTAATCTGCCCCAGCAAGTGTCCCTGGTATAAACAGCACATGAGGTCAGTTTGTATTAGGTTAAAGTGAAACTTCCCCTCAATGTGTTGCATCCACACAAATATCTGGCATGTTTGTTAAAACTGTGAACTCGGCCCACAGCTGCTCACTGATTAGCGGCGGAGCTAACTCGGTTAGCGGTTCACCAGCGGCGGTCGGTTCTCCTCAGAGCCGCTGCTGACGCTCATTTCACGGACACAACCCTCCCGCGAGCCCCGCCGGTTGCTTACACCGTGACGTGGCCGGAGCCTCGCACCACCACCGGGTCCGGAGCGTACTTGAGGAGCTGTTCTTCCGCGGCCCTGTCCTCGTCCTCTTCTTCCTCCTCCTCCTCTTCGTAGATCTCATCAAAGTCCTCCATCATCTCACAACGACTCGGTCCGGGTCTCTTCCCGGTACCGAGAGAGACAAGTAGGCAACAAAGTCGACAGAGAGAAGCGTACGGAGCGGAGAGGATGTGCTCAGAAATACCAAGTAGTCCAGCTCGATGACCGACCGAGCCACGAAACAAAACATCAACATCCGCCGCAGCAACTGAACGAAACCGGAAAAGCGGCTGACGTAATGACGTATTTTTTTACGTCTTTACGTCATTCAATAAATTATTACTGTTGTTCAGGTTCAAGTTGTCGCTACCGTCTCATGTAGTACATGAGGTGGAACGATATGATGTACACAGGGTCCCAGTTACACCCCAAAATATCAAAATATAAAGTCTAAAAGGAAACGTTAAATAAGGATCCAAGATATTTATTCAACCTTTATTTAGGGGGAGTGGTGGCGCAAAGGTTAGAGAGGTGGGCTTGTGATCCGAAGATCGCCGGTTCACGCCCCGGCCCCGACAACATCAAAATTGTGGGTGGGGTAGGTGAAACACCCACACTTGCCCCCACCCTCATTCGCCCCACTCTGGGCCCATGAGCAAGGCCCTTAACCTCCACCATGTGCTCCCTAAAAAACAGGTCTCTCTTGCAAATGAGTTCTCGTGGCTCAATGAGACTAACCTGGATAAATAAAGGCTAAAAAAAAAAAAAAATTTACACAGTTTAGTCCAATTGAGCCTCAGGGACTCATTCACAACAGAGACCTGATTTTAACAAAGAATGATGACAACAGTAGACAATCATAAAAGAAAGTATACAAATTGAGAAGAATAAATGAAAGAAAATGGTAAAAAAAAAAAAAAAAACTAAACAAAAACAGCTAGGTTGTAGGTGATGTAGAAAACTAAAAACAGGAACATGTCTGCATTGGTTTTTCCCATGAACTTAACAGATGTTTAAAGCCACTTAGAGAGGTCAAGGTCGAGAGCTTCAGATCTTTTGAAAGATATTCCAGGAAACAGGAGCCGAGTAGGAGAAGGCCCTTTTGCCAAGTTCTGTCTGCACTGAGAGTACACTGCATGTAGTGATGTCCTGAGAGCGCACGCTGTAGCTGCACTCACGCAGTGACATGTAGGAGGAGATGTATGAAGGCAGCAGATAATTTTAAATCAAATTTTTAATCTGACTTAACTGTAAAGCACTTTGGTCAGCTTTTGTTGTTTTTATGTGCTATATAAATAAATTGACATTGACATTAACTGAACAAGAACTGATTTAAAGATGAAAATGTACCAGTGAGAGTCTACGAGAAGTTCATGACGACCAGTTAACCAGTGAACACAGGGTGCAATGGTGGGTACAACAGTTACAGCCAGTTGTGAATCTTAGTCAGAGTCAGAGTTTCTTTATTGTCATTCACACCTCATGTGGTACATGTGGTGGAGTGAAATTATGTACACAAGGTCCCAGTTACATCCAACAATAAAATGTAAAAGAAAAACAGTAATAACATCTAAAATATGAACTAAGAAAAACAAACTAAATATACACTAAGCACTCATAACATAAAAACATTACGTCGAACATCAGCACAAACATGAACATGAGTCTGTGAGCAGATGTGCACGCATGAACACATCAACATTGAAACAGATCAGCAGCAACATGAAACAGATCAGCAGCAACATGATATGGTTTTTCACAGTGATTATTCTAGTTAAAGATTCATGAGTCTAACAGCCTCAGGGTAGAAGCTGTTCCTCAATCTAGTGGTTTTACACTTAATGCTTCTTAACCTCCTTCCTGAGGGGAGTGGGGCAAAAAGTGTGTGTGCTGGGTGAGTGGGGTCCTTCATGATGCAGGTGGTCCTCTTCCTGCATCTGGAGGTGTAGATGTCTGTGATGGTGGGGAGACTGATTCCAACAGATTTCTGTGCAGCCTTCACCACTCTCTGCAAAGCTTTTCTTTCTGCAGCTGTGCAGCCTCCATGCCACACATTGATGTTGGAGCACAGGATGCTCTCCACTGCACACCTGTAGAAGGAGGTGAGGACTGAGCTTCCCAGTCCAGTTCGTCTCAGCCGCCTGAGGAAGTAGAGTCTCTGATGAACTTTCTTGATAGGCTGGTGGTGTTGTTGCTCCAGCTGAGGTTGTCATTCATGTGTACACCCAAGTACTTGTAGCTGGAGACCACTTCCACCGCAGATCCTCTTATGTTCAGGGGGGTGTAGGTGTTTTTGTTTCTTCTGAAGTCCACAATCATCTCCTTTGTCTTCTTCACATTGATGTGAAGGTTATTCTCTTTGCACCAGCTCTCCAGATGTTCCACCTCCTGCCTGTAGATGGACTCATCATTGTTTGTGATGCATCCCACCACCGCTGTATCATCTGCAAACTTTACAATGTGACAGCCTGGATGGGTAGCTGCACAATCATATGTGAGCAGAGTAAAAAGGAGGGGGCTCAACACATATCCCTGAAGAGAGCCAGTGCTGAGGGTTATGGTGGAGGAGGAGAAGTTGTGGATCCTCACTAACTGTGGTCTGTTTGTTAAGAAGTCTAGTATCCAGATGCAAATGGAGGAGCTTATTCCTAATGTGAATAGTTTGCACACACTTAGTGCACCATGATAGACAGCATTAAACATCTGCAGGGTTCTTGTAGGAGCGTTCATGTAAATAACGTCACCGTAATCAATGGAGGGAAGGAAAGTCACAGATACAAGGCGTTTCCTAGCATTCAGAGTTAGACAGGATCTATTTCTGAAAAAGAAACCCAGTTTAACTTTCAGTTTCTTTCTTTCCACATGGAGCTTAAAAGAGAGATGTGAGTCGACAAAGATACCCAAATATTTATAGGAATCAACAAACTCAATCCGGACACCATTTGAGGATAAAATCGGAGGAAGAACTGCTGGGATCGACTTCCTGTTTGAAAACAACATCCCTTTGGTTTTGTTGATGTTTAGGACACGTTTGAGACAAAACAAATCTGACTGGATGTCGAAAGCGGATTGCAAAAGCTGGAAAACCTTATCAACTGTTTTAGCTCGACACCAAACAACCGATTCGTCAGCATAGAAATGTAAGGATGCATCAGGGATGATCTGACCTACATTACCTATGTAGATTGTGAAGAAGGTGGGTCCTAAGACTGAGCCTTGAGAGCACCATTGTTAACTGTTAAATAACCGTTAATACACCAAAATATACTAACAAACGCCAAACGGTATGCTAAAAGTTCAAAGATATACACTAAACACTAATAATGTAAAACAATATGGCGTAACAACAGCAGCTTGAACATGAGTCTGTGCTGAGCAGATAGGTATGAATGAATGCAGCATGAGATAATCAGCAGCATTCAACCATTATTTATACAGGTTAATCCCATTGAGCCTCCAGGACTCATTTACAAGAGAGACCTGGTATCAGCAGCATGAGATCAGCAGCATGGATATTGGTTTGATTTAAATATTGATAACTACATAAAATATGTATAAAAACAATATAAATACAAAATTTATAAAATAATAAATACATAAATAAACCTGAGTTGTAACTTGGATAGCTATAGGAATTTAAATATGTCTTATATATTTATTACTCTGTTCAAAACTTAGTTGTATTTATCACAGAAACATCACTTTTAAACTATAGTTGCTGGTCAAATCAATTAGTTTTATAAACTATTACATTCTTCTAACAAAAAATAATCTTAGTTTGATTTAAATTTAAATGAAAAAATATTAAACTTGTAAAAAAAAACAGGTGAATAACAGTTTCAAATATTTATTTCTTAAAAATAGAGATTTTCTGGACATATGTTACATGATAAGCCACAGTTTGTGCAAATAAATGGAAATTACCTTCATAAGTCGAAAATAAAATTTTCTCCAAATGCTGACAGTGGTCAATATTTGTTTAGCCAAAAAAAAGTTTATAATACTCAAAATAAATATATTTTTACCCTACTCTGTCTAAATAATAAGACAACGTTGAAATATAGGTTTACATAAAAAAAAACATACTGTAATTTAAAAATATATAAATGAGGAGTTGCAGAACTCTACAAACACCGGATGTTAACCATTGCGTTCTTCAAAACATTTTCATGTGTGTTTTTATTTTATTTATTAATCAAAAGTCATATAAAACGTTTCTCTTGTGTTTGCAGGCGACACTGCATTACACGTTTGGTTATGTAAATATGTCCCCTCTCGGGCTCCGTAGTTACTTTGCAAGCTGTTGAAGGATCTTATTTTGAAAGTTTTAGCGGAAACGCATTTCCCTCAGTTCAAAGCAGAAATACTTTCCGGGTTCAGGCTGTGAGGAATGACTGAAAACAGGGAAGTGTCTCTATTCAATCACCGCAAAGCTGACTTTAAACAGCTTATTCATCAATTAAGAGCTATTTTTATCCAAAACGTGTAGTGTTGATCTGAAAAAATAAAAAATCCCGTTCCGGAAGTGAGCAGGCGGATTGTTTTGGGTCGCGAACCCTCGTTTGTTTCAGCCGCGGACATCGTTTCTGAGGATGACGCTATCTGAAAACGTCAGCGTGTTCTTCAAGGTTTTTAAGGATGTGTTTCCAGTTCCCACAAGCGGGATCGTGACAGTGGCCTTAACGTCGTGTGTTTTGTTCTGCGTGGAAACATACTTTGACTTGACTCAGGGGGTCCTCAGCATTGGGTCAAGAGTCTTCCAGAGTGGACACATCCACAGCCTTCTCCTGTACCCCTTTTACCACCACACTGTCGCTCAGCTTCTCCTGAACATCACAGCCCTGCTGGTTCTGTGTGGCAGCGTGGAGAAAAGTGTTGGTAGTGTTCACTTCCTCTTCCTGTTCCTCCTGCTCGCCTCCACAACAGGCCTCCTTTACAGCCTCCTGGATCTCCTGCTGGATGACATGCACACTCCCACCGAGGGCCTGCTCCCAGTCACCCTGGCCTGTGTGGCTCTGATCACCGTGCACACAAAAATGACCAAAGGTTTTCTCTGTGGAGTCAGTTTTCCTTCCTTTGTCCTCCCTTGGGTGCTCCTCATGATCTGCACGGCTCTGATTCCTCGTAGTGTGCTGCTCTGTAATGTTATCGGCGTCCTGGTTGGGTGGCTGTATGGGAAAGGATGGCTGTCTCTGATGGACATGTCTGAGGCCAGGGCTGCGATTCTGGAGAAAATGACGCCCTTCAGGTTGTGGAAGAGTGTCAGCGGAGGCATGTTCATTCCTGCGTCCACGGAGGAGAGGAGGAAGACCCTGCTGCCACAAATAAACCCCCCTCCTGGGTCTTACCCGGTCCAAGCTTATGCTCCTTTATCCAGCTTCAACTCTGCCAACACTACAGGCACAACCTATGAAGGCTGGCCACATTTAGCCAGTTCCTTTTCTACTTCTGAAACACCTCTTAACCTTTATGGACACAGTGCAGTTCATAACGTTGGACACAGTCATGGACACGGTCATGGACCCTCGGGCAATAGTTTTGTAAACAGCTGCAGCCACAGTCACGGTCAAAAACAGTAGTTGTGGTTATCACCCGTATGTGTGCATACGTCTGTAATGTTAGTAAAATATTGTACCTCATGAATCACTGGATGGATTTGCATTGGATGGACCTCTACTATTAACCTTTGGAGTGAATCCCATCCAAGATGGCCACCACAGCTAGTGACACAAAAATGTCTGTGGCTCAGTTATTTCAGTTATTGAGCTGACATTTGGTGCGATGGTAGCTCGTTCTTAAATGCTCAAAGCTCTACTCATTAAGCGACATCTTTGCTTAAAACTTTATCCAACAACTGTTTAGATCGATGTCTGTCAGCAAAATATCTCGTGAACCACTGGACAGATTTTAACGAACCCTTCAGAAGTGAATCAAGATAGACATCTAGAGCTGCGAGTCTAAATCAGGATGTCGGCCGCGGCAGATTTTTCCCAACAGAACCCTCTTAACGTACTCGGATATAAAAAAAGGTCAAGTTAATGTGGTGGTACCTGAGAGTTATCTTTAACACAAGCTCTGAGCATTTGCACATTCTGCACGTTGTGTCTTTGGAGGGTGATTTGAATTAAAACAGTCATGAAAGGCAGCGGGTGATATCCATTCCTTCAAGGAATGCTAGGCCTGTTCATGACTTCAGTCTAGTTTTGCAGCACCTCAATGAAGGATTTTCTAATATAAACTGTAATAAGTTATATTTTCTGTTTTTACATTTAGAATTCAGAAAGATCATTTGTCTCTTTATAACTATTATTTTTATTAAATAAATGTTTTTATTATTAATTTACTTGGCAAATAAAGATGTTTTCCTTCCTCCATAAACTAAAGTGCATACAGATATACAGGTGCTGGTCATAAAATTAGTAAATCATGAAAAAGTTGATTTATTTCAGTAATTCCATTCATAAAGTGAAACTTGTATATTATATTCATTCATTACACAGACTGATATATTTCAAATGTTTATTTCTTTTAATGTTGATGATTATAACTGACAACTAATGAAAACTCCAAATTCAGTATCAGAAAATTAGAACTTGAGACCAATGAAAAAAAGGATTTTTAGAAATGTTGGCCAACTGAAAAGGATGAACATGAAAAGCCTGAGTCCTTTTTGTCTTTAGCCCAGGAGAGACGCTTCTGACACCATCTCTTGTTCAAGAGCAGCTTGACACAAGGAATGCGACAGCTGAAACCATGTATGTCTTGCATACGTCCGTGCATGGTGGTTCTTGAAAAACTGACTCCAGCTGCAGTTCACTCTTTGTGAAATATTTTGGAATGGGTTTTGTTTCACAATCCTCTCCAGGGTGCGGTTATCCTTATTGCTTATACACTTTTTTTTCTACCACATATTTTCCTCCCTTTGCCTCTCAATGTGCTTGGACACAGAGCTCTGTGAACAGCCAGCCTCTTTAGCAATGACTTTTTGTGCCTTGCCCTCTTTGTGCAAGGTGTCAATTGTTGTATTTTGGACAACTGTCAAGTCAGCAGTCTTCCCCATGATTGTGCAACCTACAGAACTAAATTGAGAGACCACCTAAAGGCCTTTGCAAGTGTTCTGAGTTAATTAGCTGATTAGAGTGTGGCACCAGGTCTCTCCAATATTGAAGCTTTTCTAATTTTCTGAGATACTGAATTTGGGGTTGAGACAGCACGGTGGCGCAACTGGTAGAGCTTCTGCCTCTCAGCGAGCAGGTCCCTGGTTCAAACCCCGGTCCAGGGGCCTTTCTGGGCGGAGTTTGCATGTTCTCTCCGTGCATGCGTGGGTTTTCTCCGGGTGCTCCGGTTTCCTCCCACAGTCCAAAAACATGCATTTTAGGCTGATTGGTAACTCTAAATTGTCCCTAGGTGTGAGTGAGAGAGTGAATGGTTGTTTGTCTCGTTTGTCTCTATGTGGCCCTGTGATGGACTTGCGACCCGTCCAGGGTGTACCCCGCCCCTCGCACAGTGATTGCTGGACATGGGCACCAGCGACCCCCGTGACCCAAAATGGAATAAACGGGTAAAGATAATGGATGGATGGATGGATGGATTTGGGGTTTTCATTAGTTTTCAGTTATAATCATCAACATTCAAAGAAATAAACATTTGAAATATATCAAGTCTGTGTGTAATGAATGAAAATAATATACAAGTTTCACTTTTTAAATGAAATTGCTTAAATAAATCAACGTTTTCACGATATTTTAATTTTATGACCAGCATAAAAAATTAAAAAAACAATCTGACTGAATGTCACAGAGCAGCAATGCTGAATGTTTGGACCCATAAAACTGCACAGGTCTATGTTAAATTATCATTCACAAATCTTGACAACTTGTCGAACAGATTTAATGAAATTTAATCAAAGATGTAAGCTTGGCCAAAATAAACGTGCAATATCTAGGTTTTGTGAAATAATCCCCAGTTGAGCAACTCTTTAAAGTGTATGCATTTTGTGCTTCAACAGTTGTAAAACTTGCTCAAATGTTGCTTTCTAATGTTAATTTAGTCTTACACCCTTTGGTAATTGACTTTTTATGAATATGCCACCATGTTGTTTTATGTGCTCTAACCAACAGTTCACAGCCCAAGACTCAGCTTTACTGTGGGACAAGATGCTGAACATCATGACAGAATATTTTTATATACTAAAAAGCTTATTTGTATATTAATGGGCCTGTGAGATTCAAATAGAGCAAAGCTGCAGAGTTCAACCTAAGTATGTTTTTTTTTACAAGTAAAAAATTATTCATTTTAGGAGGTTATTTAGCACAAAGAAGAGAAATTAAAATGACATCAATTTACCATCAGAGCAGAAAGAATCAGTCATCCAGTTCAGTTTTATTCACTCCTCCACGGTCATTTAGTTTACAAATTCACAACTACATGAACAGTGCAGAGCCCCTGTGTCCTGCAGTATCTGAGACCCCACGGCGCTGGTCCTGGTAGTCATTCCGTAAAGGCCTCATTCCTCCCAGGTATCTCCATAGATGTTCTTCATCACTGAAATGTAAGATGAATGAAAGGAGAAGACATGAAGTCTTTCCCAGAAATAGTTGAACGTGCACCCACTCTCGGCAGCAGCAGCGTACCCGGTTTCTTTGGTCTCTCCTTCTCTGAGGGCGCTTTGATCACCGTGTCAGCTTTCTGATTGAGCATCACCTCGTAGTTCTCCCTGTTTCTGAGTCTCAGGTTCTCATAGAGGATGGACTTCTTCGGCTCCTCGTCCTCAAATGACTGAACTGACAAGAACAGCAACAGAAACATTTTTACATCTGAGGGGTGGCGACACTCTCTGGTTTTCTAAACGTTTTCACAAACTGGTCAAAACTGTAAGTACTCTCCGGTCACGAATATTTTTAATTCTTTATTTAAAAAAATATTCTTTGTGATTTTCTTTTCCACATGTAAACTCAACAACAATGTAAACAAAATATTTAGTAAAAGGTCAAAAGTATTCAAATTTGGGTGGAAAAGGAGTTCTAAATAGTTGCATAGGCCTACTGAAAACAAAAAGCTTCGCTTTATTAAAGAAAATAATTCAATTTATTTGATTCAATGGGGCTATTGTTTTTGTTTTCTTGTACTTGACAAGTTCATTTTTGTCTTGGAAACAAAAGTGTAACAGTCACTCTTCTTACCATTTATATAAATAATGTAGGTCAAAACATTCCTGACGCCTCCTTACATCTCTATGCCGACAACACTGTTGTTTATTGCCGAGACAACACAAGGTTTTCCAACGTCTACAATCTGCATTTGACATCATTCAGTCAGACTTATTCCATCTCAAGCTGGTGCTAAACGCTGATAAAACCAAAGGGATGTTGTTTTCAAACAGAAAGTTGGTGCCAGCAACTCTTCCTCCTCTCTTCCATGCATGGTGTTCCTATTGAGTTTGTAGATTCTTGCAAATATTTGGGAATTTTGGTCGATAAATATCTCTCTTTTAAACCACATATTGAAAACTTTATAAAGAAACTGAAAGTAAAACTGGGTTTCTTTTTCAGAAATGAATCTTGGTCAACTCTGAATGCCAGGAAACACATTGTAGTTGCAAATTTCATACCAGCCATTGATTATGGTGACATTCTTTCCATGAATGCCCCTGCCAGCTGCTTGCAGATGTTGGATGTTGTCTACCATGGCGCGCTAAGATTCATAACTGGTTGTAACTACTGTACCCACCACTGCACTCTGTATTCACTGGTAAACTGGTCACCATTAACTTCACGCAGACTCTCTCACTGATTCATTTTCATCTGTAAATCTCTCCTTGGTCTGTTACCCTTTTACATCTTCTACATGTCACGTCGTCAGTGCAGTTACAACATGCGCTCTCAGGACATCATTACCTGCAGCGTTCCCTCAGTGAGAACTGAACTCGGCAAAAAGACCTTCTCTTACTCTGCTCTTGTAACCTGGAACACCTTACAAAAAGATCTGAAGCGGTCGACTTTGATTTTAACATGAAAATGTCAATAGAAAAAAAATCTATGCAAATATGTTCTTGCTTTTAGCATTGTCCCTTGTTTTATATGGTACCTTGATTTGACTGTTTTTATAACTACTTTTATTTGATTTTAATTGCTTTTTGTTGAATTGTTGTCTGATTAAAACAGGTCTCTTGAAAATGAGTCTGTGTGACTCAATGAGACTAATAGAGAACAGTCACTAAAAGTGGCCTGGCAGTAGACCCTTGAAGTGAAAATTTAATTTGTTTGCAGTTCAAATACCACTTGAGAAGTTTATTTTTTTAAATCTTCTGGACCCACGTCCTAAAAGGATGGTTGAAACACAGAAAAACTACAGCTGACAGTCACTGAGGGTGCATTCACACCAGCCCTGTTTAGTCCCGCTTTAATCGAACTCTAGCTAGTTTTCCTAGAAAGTCCGGTTCGTTTAGGGAGGTGTGAACGCGCCATTGAACTCTGTCATGGAACAAAAAGGCGAACTCTGGCCCGGGCTAAAACCTAGGTCTCGGTCCGGTAGAAGCGAACTCCAGCGCGGTTCAAGTACAGTGTGAATGCAAACAGACCGGCCCCGCTCCGCAGGGTAAACAAACACGCATTTCTCTGACCTCATATGGAGCCGTCAGCTTCCTTGTGTGGAAAAACAATATTCTCCATGGTCTTCTGTCTCATATTCTGCTCATGCTAAGTCCATTTTTGAAAAATGACAAAATATAACTCCTAAAACTGCTAAAACTTGATGCCACTTCATTTTTATTTTTATTTACAGAAGAAGACGTGTCTTCAGAGGTTTTTGTGTCGTTTCTTTTAGTTCTTGGTGCAGCGCCCCCACAGGCGAGCGGGGCAATAGGTTGGTTCAACAGGTTGACTCGACTGCACAGTGCAGTGTGAATGCAAACGCACCAGCTCAAATGTAAACAAAAGGTCATGAATATTGGTCCCGAACCGAGTCTACCGGACTATCTGGTGTGAAAACGACCTAAAACTGATTCTTAGAAGATTAGACCACTTCACCACTTGCTCTTGCCGAGATCGGATGCTTCTCCCCTCCCTCTCCGCTTTGCTGCTCTGTCTGTCTGTGAAACTGCTTGTGAGCCTCTCTTGCATTTCTTCCGAACCATAATTATGGACTGTTTTGATCAGTTGGTCCCTCAACTCAATTTACAACATTTCTTCGAAAAGAAGACAGGCTTTAGGCGAGTCGATTTGCCCTGTTTGCATGCATGCAGCTGGATATCTCATCGACTTGGAAGACTTGATGATGTGTCTATCTCTGCTGCCACTTGTGGATTTTAAGGACGCATATTTAATTGGATTTGTAATAACTGGTTCCTGCTTTTGGATTTGGCTGGTTGCTGGTTTTATCAACAATCAAGGAAGTAGTCGGCAGCAAATTTGGACCCGATCCCGCTGCTTACCATTATGATGGCTTGGTTCGTGTCTCGAGTACCCAGACTCAAATGCTTTGGGCTGAATGGATCAGATCTTGGGGATTTTTACTCAGTCACGTTCCATCGGTGTGGCCATTTAATTTGGACATTTTGGAACCGAGTCGACCAACACAGACTCAAGGTAGATGTCATTAAGTTCTGCCTGTCCCCAAAACAACTGTGTGTTTATCTGAATTTGGCTCCGCTGGCTGGCCTTGAAGGACATCTTATCTGAATTCACCTGGAGAACATGTGATCTGACGCTCACACCCCCTCCCTGAGGAATTTCCAACTGATAACCAGATGAAACCAGATGAATAAACTTGTGTCATCATTTCAGGACTCTTGGATTCTCATAATAGTTGTTATTCTTGGCCATTCCTCGACATACCTCGAGAATGTTTATGGATCTCACCGGAGGACATTGGCTGATTATTACATCCTTATCAGAACTCTTACAGTGACCTCGAGAGCATCTATGAACATGATCACCGCTCTCGTCGTCCCCCTCTGCAGAATGTCTACGTCATATGTGCTTGTTTGTGCGAGGTGTTTTTTTTAATTTTTATAACCGTTTTTTCTTCTCAGGCAGGAAAAAAAAAGTCTGATAGGAATTTTTTCGCCTCCAACTCCTACATGTGTCCAGTTTTCACTACTTTTTTTCTGTCTGAACAGATCTCACTTGTAAATGAGTCTTCTAGGCTCAATGTGACTTATTTGTTTAAATAAAGGTTGAATAAATAAATGAACTAATAAAGGTGATCAAATATGTAATTTATGTCCACCCTATACATTTTTTAACAAAGTCCAATTAAACTTGATTAATGAATAAATCAACAATAATTTTCTTTCAGAAATGTTTGTTACATTTAGCCAAGTTTAATGATTGGCTACCCAAAAGTCTTCTTTTTGGTAAACGTTTGTGGGCCTTTTCTCCACGAAATAGGAATAAAAATAACATGTGGTTAATTAGAGATGAAAAACTTGTTTTATACTTACCGGTAATATTTAACACTTTAAGATTTTCTTTCTGGTTTTTGTTAAATCTACAAAAATATTAAATTTCACACTGAAAATTAGCAAAAGGTGTTCGTCTGCATCAACCTCAAGTCTTCAGGTTTAAATGTCACCGTTCTTAAATTACAGCTGCAAGCCACACAAAACCCCTTAGAGGGTCGCACTGTGGACACTCGTTTAGTGTCAACTTTATTCAGTATTTTGAACAACTCTGCAGCTTTATAGACTGATGAAACTCCACATCAGTGTTAGGGAGGGGGAGAAGTTTTTGAAAATTTAAAGTCTAAATGGGCAAGTTAAAAAAAATGAAGCACCAATCACAGCAGTCTTTTTTGAAACACCGGGACCTGATAGTGACATGTAAACTTGTTTTGTAATGGAGATATTTTGTAGAGCTGTCACTTCTAACCCGAGCCCATGCCTGGCCCAGTCCGACCTGAAATTTGGGCTGGGCCAAAGTAATGTGCTGGATGGGCGGGTCGGTGTCAGGCTTTTGATTGCGTCTGTTTGACTGCGAGCTGACCTGCCGGTTGAAAGAGGTTTTAAAAAAAGTCCATATGACCAGCGACCCACCTGAAGCTAAAATGGACTGTACTTAGTGCTTTTCTATCTTATTGAGATACTCAAAGCGTTTTACACTAGAATTTACCCACGATGGCTGAGCACTTAAACAATAATCAGAGCTTTATCACATTCATACACTGATGGGACGCACATCAGAGGCAATGAAGGGTTCAGTGTCTTGTCCAGGGACACTTGGGCATGTGACTGCTGGTGGAATTGAACCCCCAACTCTTGCACTGGAGGACGACTGCTCTAACCACTCAGCCACAGCCGACCTCAGCTTAACTGGACTTGGTCGCTGCGTCAGCAGACAGGTGTGGCCAATGGCCCAAATCGGATCATCAGCCACGCACGTCCGCCGATGGTTAATAACTATAATAACTATAATATTATAATAACTATAATAATCCACTGACTCTTGTTAATAAACAAGAAATCTTATATTTTCCTTTCTTAGAAATATGTTTTAAAATCACATCAAACTGATTTGCTTACAAAAGCAGTAAAAGCTTAAATTTATTAATTTTTTTTAATTCGGGTTCGGGCCTGTAATCACGGATAATTGGTCGGCTTCAGGCTGGGCTCGGAAAAAATGATATGGGTTCGGGCCAGATTTTTTAGGCCCAAATGCAACTCTAGTGCTTTGGTTGAGAGAACACCTACATTCCCTCTATAAAAACACTCAGAACCAGATGTTTTCTGTCACTGCAGTTTATTTTGACATAATAATAAAATGGAAACAATGGTCACACGGGTGGGCTCAACTTTACTGCCAGAATAAGTGGACCCCTCTCCCTGTTAAAACCACTGGACTGGTAATAACGAAGGACTATAAAGATCCTTGGCTAGCAGGAAAAATATTAAGTTCAAGTTCAAGTAGGCTTATTGTCATTTCACTACATGTGGTACATGAGGTGGAACGAAATTGTGTACACAGGGTCCCAGTTACATCCAACAATAGCAAAAATATAAAGTTTAAAAAGAAACAGTAAATAAGGATCTAAGATATGCGCTAAACAATCCAAGATATACACTAAAAACTAATAATGTAAAACACAAAATAAACACATTAAAAGTGCTTTTGCTTGAAATGTCCATTCATACTTGATGTTTAAACACAGGTTCTGGTATGTTTTGGGCCACTTGCTACATCTCTCCACATTTGCCATGAAAGCATTATAAACTGGTAAAGTGTGTGTTGTGTGTCCATCAGGTACCTGGAGTGTCATCTGGCTCGCCCATTTGCCCATCACCTGTGGTGAAGCTGGACATGCTGCTGGGTGTTTCTGCAGGTTGGAACATGAGGGTGTCGTATGAAGGGACGTTTGGTTCTCTCACCTCTGGCTGAGTATTTAAACTGAGGAAGAGCAGAAACAAACAGCAACAAAAAACAAGCTTCAGGGTCTGTTAACAGCCAGAGAAAGGACTATTAACACAGCTTCACAGACCAGTATTTAATGGGATATTTCAAGCATTTTAAAGTGCTCTGTGTGGAAGGTAGGCACTTGTAGACTGAGTTTAGAACAAGCTCAGTTTGGAAAAATAAGTTTAATTTCTATAAACCTTTGCACCAACTACAGTTATATTTTAATTATTTACATGAAATGATCTGGTCATTTGCAAGCACAAAATGGCAGCAGCAGCTAGCTGTAACACTTCTGTTGCAGTCTGGGGTCAAATCCAGCAGGATGTAGTTCTCCTAGAACAACTGTAATGTGAAAATGACTGTGCCGCAACAGTTTCTATGTTAGTATTTTCATAAACTGCTATGAAATTAGGAAATGAAAGTTATTTTACCACAGCAACATCTGTTTAGAAAGCTGGTTCATCTGGACAAAGCCTCATTAGCTGCTTAATACGGTCCAAGCTGACCAACTTCCAAAGGTTTTGTGGCCTTAAAACAACTTCAATCTTTATTACCATATTTTTCGGCCTATACAGTGAGTAAAATAAGTATTTGAACAACCTGCGACTTTGCAAGTTCTCCCACTTAGAAATCATGGAGGGGTCTGAAATGTTCATGTTAGGTGCATGTCCACTGTGAGAGACATAATCTAAAAAAAAAAAAAATCCAGAAATCCCCATGTATGATTTTTTAATAATTTATTTGTGTGTTACTGCTGCAAATAAGTATTTGAACACCTGTCAATCAGTTCTGGCCCTCAAAGACCTGTTAGTCCTCCTCTATAACGTCCACCTCCACTCCACTGATTATTCTAAATTAGAAGCACCTGTTTGAGGTTGTTAGCTGCATAAAGACACCTGTCCACCCCACACAATCAGTAAGACTCCAACTACTAACATGGCTAAGACCAAAGAGCTGTCCAAAGACAACAGAGACAAAATTGTAGACCTCCACAAGGCTGGAAAGGACTACGAGGCAATTGCCAAGCAGCTTGGTGAAAAAAGATCAACTGTTGGAGCAACTATTAGAAAATGGAAGAAGCTAAACATGACTGTCAATCTCCCTCGGACTGGGGCTCCATGCAAGATCTCACCTCGTGGCGTATCAATGATCCTGAGAAAGGTGAGGACTCAGCCCAGAACTACACGGGAGGAGCTGGTCCATGACCTGAAGAGAGCTGGCACCACTGGTTCCATGGTTACTGTGGGTAATACACTAAGACGTCATAGTTTAAAATCATGCATGGCACGGAAGGTTCCCCTGCTTAAAGCAGCACACGTCCAGGCCCGGACAGTCAATAAAACTAAAAAATGTTGTCAACGCGAAAGAGTAAAGATGGGGCAGGTAACGCTCTCACTTTGAGTTTATACTCTTTGTTGCTGCGTGCTGTGGGTGAAATGCGTTCAGAGCGGAGAACTTGTTAGCAAAGAATAGAGTCCTAACATTTATTAAACATTACTTCTGTATTTAAAAAAAATTGTGCTTTGACAAACTAAAAAAAAAAGTAAAAGAGTAAAGAGGGGGCAGGTAACGCTCTCGCTTTGAGTTTATTCTCTGTCGCATGCGTGCTGTGGGAGACAAGCGTCCAGAGCATCACCAGCCGAGGAGGTGTCATGGTGACATGGTTTATTCATGGCTCCCCAAACAACAAGACAGACATATTTGTTCATAACTTTATTATTAGTGAGTCTGAGAGTTGCCGGATTTTAGCAAACAGTTGCCGAATGGACCCTGACACAATGAGAATGGTGCAAAAAACCTCAAAACCTAATCCCTGCCGAAAAATGTTCCCTGGGGGTCACGTGCGCCCCCTTGGCATTGCTCCAGGCCCCTCCAGGGGGGCGCGCCCCACTATTTGAGAAGGACTGGGCTGATGTAACTTATACGGCAGTGTGACGTGCACGGCGGAAAATACGGTATTCCATAACGCTAACACTATTAAACTTTCCCTTCACTGATACTTTCATATTAAGAGTTATTTTTGCAACAACAAAAAAAATGGAATTCCTGCCAGTTATGACCCCAGGCTGCACCTGAAGTGCTACAGCTAGCTACTAAAGCAATTCTTATTTTCACATAATGTATTTCAGTGTTTCCCCTGGTTTACTGGCCTTGGCAGGGCGCTCATATCTTCTGTGATTTTTGTCGACGGGAGTGGAGGACAGAGACACGTCTGTGTTGCTCGCTGCGAGGGACATGGAGCGCTACCTCCATTCCATAGTCACAACTTTTTAGCTAGCGCGTCTGTATTGCTAGCTTAGCGCAATGTCAGTGCCGGCAGTTGTCGACAGGGCGGAGTTCGGTAGGCAGTGCACTCCGTTCTGTAGACAGGGCAGGGCGCCTCGCTGGTAGGGGAAACACTGTATTTTGTTTAAGTAATTCTGCATTTTGAAGTGGATGACTGTGTCTAAAAGTGCCTACCTTCTACACAGAGCACTTTAAAATGCTTCAGACTGTGTACGAAGTAACACTTTTGGTAAAGCTATGAACTATTGAAGATGGAAGCTGCTTTAAGACGGCAGCAATCCACTTTCACCTCGACTATGTTTGGATTAGCCATTAACTCATCTATCCTGTCACGTAGAGTTTATTTCTCCAGAAGTGAAGCTGTTCAAAGAGCAATCCAGACGACAAAGTTATTATTTATTCACAACACCTCTTTCAAACGATCAATATATCCCTTTGCTGAGCATGATTGGTGGGAGTGTCCCACTCACCTAGACAGTCTCGCCTGCTGTCTCATGAGCTCCAAAAACTGGGAGTCCGGTAGGTTTTCGAACTTTTCCCGGCACTTTTTCAGGTATGACAACCTTCCAGCTATGTAGCCAAAGAAGCCAGCGACTGCGAGATGAAACATAATCTAATGTTATTTTAAATACAAATAGTAAATAAATGTTATTTGTGCAAATTAAATTAAAAAGATTAGGATAAAAGCAGTTCAGAAGATTTAGCCAAACCTTTTCACTCCTTTAAGTAGCAGGTTATTTAAAATATGGGTTTAAACATATAGTATATGCTGATGCTAACATGAGTTACAGCATCGTCTTAAATAAAGCCTAGAACAGTCAATTTAAACTTATGCTTTTAAGATTCTGCTCAAAGATTTTAATGCCAAGATTCAGTTGACATTGTGTAAAAGCTACTTCCTGCAGAAAGTTTGATAGTTTGTGGTGTTTATGTCCATGAACTTACAGCAGACTTTAGGCAGATATCCAAACCTTGGTGATACCGACAAAATCCCTACAAATATGAAAAAGATTTGTGTCAATTTAAAGATTATTGTATGTTCAAACTACAAACTGCCATTTCTGCAGAATACCTCTTGAAATTAGGTGCTTAGTAGTAGCCATGCTGATGACGGAGAAGGGAACAGCTGTGAAGGAAAAGAAGAACTATTATCAAAGATAAAATTCAAACAACCTCATCTCTGACTTAAGAATGCGGAAAGGTAAAACTATACAAGACGTCAACAAGGAAGAGGGCCGGCAATGGAGGAGGGGCGTACCAAAGAGACCATCTAATCACAAGCAGAACTGGTTTGTTCCACTTTGGAGTAAGCTGTTGAGGGAAGAATCAGTTTTGTTGTGCGTTTCCTTGACTGATGAAGCCTTCTGGATCGAAGGCGAAACGTTTCAGCACAAAAAAAGAAACTGTCCAGATGACCTGACTGAAAAATGTTGGATTTTATACCTGGATTATTGAGCATGGACTTTGTTGTAAAACTGCATAGTTGTTGTTTTGTTTGGTTGGTTTATTTCAAACAGGTTAACTATATTCTGATAATTAGTTTAAGCAAAAAAAGAGAGAAGCAAAAAGATGAAAGAAAAATCGACTTAAAAAGATTAAAAGAAAATCTACATAAAATAAATAAGTGCACAAGTATCGCTCCACTTTTTATTCAGCTCACGTGGAGAAAAGTACAAACTTATTTTACTCCACCCCTTCACCATTAGTTATCAATTATTATCTAATTCCTTATTAATACAAACACTAATGAAGATAAAACACATTTTCATTAGTGGTTGAATACATGATAATATACAAAGCTCTCATCAATCAATCCATCCATAAATCTTATGCTAAATATCTTGTTGTTCCATATTTTCCAAACGGAGCCCTTCACTCTCAGACCTCAGGTTTACTTGTGGTTCCTAGAGTTTCTAAAAGTAGAATGGGAGGCAGAGCTTTCCGCTCTCGCTTCACTCTTGTGGGAAATTTTCCTGTTTCTGTCTGCGAGGCTGACACTTTGTCTACTCTAAAACTAGGCTGAAGACTTCCTTTATGATAAATAAATCCTAAAGTTAGGTTTGACTTGGGTTTCCTGAGCTATCCCAGAGCAGTAAGAAAGTCTCAAAATTCACATTCACAGGCAAGTTCATCTGTCCGCAGCAGGTGATTTGTGCACACGTACTTGACAGTTTGAGCGCACAGAATATTCCTGCTTGTGCAAACTGAAATGTGAACATTTGAAAACCTGTTTATGCATTTGTGAATCTTGTAGTATGAATTTGTAGAACTTATGGATCTTAATGTGCACATACAATTTTGTCAAATCCTTGTGTGACTACTTTAGACACTAGTTATCTTCACAGATGTCCATGCATGAACGTACCTCTATAAAATAAACTCTCCCAAAAGCACTCGTTCAGCACCTTCACCTCCTCCTCTGTGGGAGTGTAGGTTGTCCTCAGCGCATTCTGCTTCGTATTTCTCTTTAAAAAACAAAAACAAAATCATCCATCCATCCATTATCTTTACACATGTCAAAATTATTTGCTATGTTTATGACCTGACTGAATATTGTCAGATTTTTACCTGGATTATTGTGCATGAACTTTGGTGCTATGCTTATGGTTTATGTAAAAAACCCAACACTCTTATTAAGTTTGGCTTTTAGTTATAAATTTCTTCCATTAGTTTTATTTTTAACCGTTTAAAATGTTGTTTTCTTTAGTAGACTGGGTAAAAGATGTCCTGAACATCCAGAAAATCAGTGATAACTTCCATTAATGTTTTTCAGCTGATCAGACCAATAATGACGAAAAATCACAACACATTTGTCAATATTAATGAGCAAACAGTTCCCCTAGATTTAAGACTATAATTTAAACTATTGTTTTGTTAGATCTCAATAAAAGAAACATAACATGGCGTTAGTGCAGATTTTAACAACATATCTTTATTATAAAACAGTGACAAAATGCTCTGAGATGCAGGAATGGGTATACCGGTAGTAGGGCTGGGGGATATGGACTAAAATGAATATTTAAATGTTTTTTAAGATAAATCACTATATACGATACGATTATATATGTATATATATATTTTTTTCCCCATAAAGTAATAAAAATATATTTCTGAGTCAAAGCTTTGTCCCAGTTGTCACAGATGTACATTTCTTAACAACAGCTGTAACTGTACAAAATAAATGTCTAAAAAATAAACTATTTAGATATATTAGTTTATTTTTTAAACCTTTATTTGCCAATATTAAATGAAAATCCACTTCAGCTGTGCCGCCTTCACGACGTTAGTGAGCGTGTGCGAACAGCCGATGCAGGTCTGACAGACTTCAGCCTCCTTTCCTGAAACAAATCACGATAAGAAATTCATTTAGCTGTGCTGTGCCTTATGTCAGGAAGAGAGAGGTGGCACTGCAACATTAATAAAGCAGCAGCTTATCATATCGCTAAAGACCCGGTCCTTAGCGGCTAACGCGTCTTCAGGGAAGGAGGCTGAAGTGTGTCGGACCTGCAGGTCAAAGAACAGAGTGAGCTGATGAAAGACAGAGCATCAGAGAAATGGATCATTCCTGCAGGAACAGAGGAAGCTGAAACACCACAAGCTTCAGGGTCAGATGATCACCTTGTTACAAGTTCTGGAAGTTAGAGCTCATTTAAAGGCAACATATATTTGTTGTAGGTTACATTTATGCTCAACAGATCTTAAGCTTTAATTTTATTTAGTTATTTTGGGGAAACTTCACCTGCACTTTAGTTTTTGTGGTGGATTTATTGTTCTATATTTTGTGCAGACTTTTTCAGTCTAAATAACAGAAGGATCATTTTTATTTTTATACAAACCGGATTCCAAAAAAGTTGGGACACAAAACAAATTGTGAATAAAAACTGAATGCAATGATGTGGAGGTGCCAACATCTAATATTTTATTCAGAATAGAACACAAATCACAGATCAAACATTTAAACTGAGAGAATGTATCATTTTAAGGGAAAAATCTGTTGTTTCCAAATTTCATGGTGTCAACAAATCCTAAAAAAGTTGGGACAAGTTCATTTTTACCACTGTGTGACATCCCCACTTCTTCTTGATTGGGGGGGGGGGGTGTTGTGTTTGTATTCAAGGAAGGAGGAGGGTGCCGCGTGGGAGAAAGAAGACAGCAGGCTGATTTTCAAGTATAACACTACACTGTATTGTTTATATCAATATAGTCTCATCTTATATCACAAAAAATACATATATCTTGATATTTTTTTTAATATCCAGATAACGCCCAGCTCTAACCGGTAGTTTTAAAAAGCCTAAAGTCAGAGGATGTGGATGGGAGAAATCTGCAGCTTCACAGTTAAATGTCAACAAATCGTGCTCCTTTGATTCAACGCCACACCTGAAAATTTGTTTTCACTTGGTCAAATCAAATTTTGAGGTGTGGCGTTTAAATAATTTAGAAATCTAAAACAAAAACAAGAAAAACAAACTAATTTTAAACAGGCTTTAAGCTTAAAGTTTATTAATTAGTTATTATTTTGTGTTGTTTTTAACTAAAACTTCTGATAGTGACATAGAAAAGTGTGCTATGAACTGGAAGAATGCCAATTTTCTTGAGAGCAAATAACTACTTTTCAAAATTTCATAAGGATTTATTTTTTGAAAAATTTGCAGGTTTTGCTGCTTTTCACCAGCTTTCATATGACAGACAGACAGACAGACAGACAGACAGACAGGTAGAAAAGAAGAGATCAATAATTCAAGAATTGTGCATTTTCAACCTACAGTGCTTTTTGTAAACATTTTTTATGTCTGATTCTTAAACTCTGAACTTTGACACGTCAGTGAAATTTATTGCAAATACAACCACAATCTTTTTTTCCTCAGGAAGTTTCTAAATACTATTTTTTTTATTTTCAGGAAGATGATTCTTGTTAATGTTTATAAAAGTTATAATAGTTGACTGTAGCATGCTGCATACATAGTACATTAAACATGTTGGTGGTATTTGATCAATATTCATTTAAAGATTCATGCAAAACATATATGATGGAAAATTTTAAACATAATTTTGACAACTATTTTTTTGTTTGTTTAAACGTCCTCAGATTTAGGATAGTTTACACATAATAAAAAGTTTGTAAATTAGTTTCTAATTATCAGATGAAACAGTGGGTCTTATACAAACTGATCTGTTACCAGAAACACAGCAGACACTTATTAAATATACTGTCTGGCCTAAAAAAAAAGTCGCCACCAAAAAAAAAAAGAAGAAAAAAGGTCACACACTAATATTTTGTTGGACCACCTTTAGCTTTGATTACGGCACACATTCTCTGTGGCGTTGTTTCGATAAACTTCTTCAATGTCACAAGATCTCTTTCCATCCAGTGTTACATTAATTTTTCACCAAGATCTTGCACTGATGATGATGGCAGATTCTGACCACTGCTCGAAGCCTTCTCCAACACATCCCAGAGATTCTCAGTGGGGTTAAGGTCTGGACTCTGTTGTGGCCAATCCATGTGTAAAAATTATGTCTCATGCTCCCAGAACCACTCTTTCACAATTCGAGCCCGATGAATCCTGCCATAGTCACCTTGGAATATGTCCGGGCCATCAGGGAAGAAAAAACCCATTGATGGAATAACCTGGTCATTCAGTACATTCAGGTAGTCAGCTGACCTCATTCTTTGAGCACGTGCTGTTGTTGAACCTGGACCTGACCAACTGCAACTACCCCAGATCATAGTACTGCCTCCACAGGTTTGTACAGTAGACACTAAGCATGAGGGGTGCATCACTTCACCTGCCTCTCTTCTTACCCTGATGCACCCATCACTCTGGAACAGGGTAAATCTGGACTCATCAGATCACATGACCTTCTTCCATTGCTCCAGAGTCCAATCTTTATGCTCCCAAGCAAATTGAAGTATTTTATTTCCAGTTAGCCTCAGTGATCAGTGGTTTTCTTAAGGCTACACAGCTGTTTAAGAAATGAGAAGCAACTCATTGCACCAGTTGGGGTTAAATAACTAGTTGCAGCTGACAGATAATCACCCATGCAGTAATGATCCAACAGGAGGCTCGTACCTATTTGCTTAGTTAAATCCAGGTGGAGACTTTATTATTTTTTTTTTTTGGTGCAGTGTACTTTTCTCCTCCATGTTATGTGTGTAATTCCTCGTTTACTTGATATTATGTGTTGGTTAGTTCAAGAGTATTTTTTTTCATATTATTAGCAGTTTAGCTTTCTTTTAATACATTATAACAAGGTGTATAAACTAAATGTTGAATTCTGTTGTGGTTTAGCGCTATATAAACTGAATTAAATTGCTACATGCATTTTAACGATTACACATTGGTCCTTAAATAAACTAGAAATTAATGTATTATATTATTTTTGCTGATCATTTGTATAATTTATTGACTTATTTATTTAACGTGATTTTGAGCGCAGATTTAAAAAAAATAGACATTAAATAAAACCCGTCTTTTCTGCGACTGCTCTTAGCCAAAGTCAACGCCAGCTAGCTAGAGTTAGCTGACATGTTAGCACCGAAGTTAGCTTGTTTGTTTGTTTATTTGTTTACCTTGTCATCTCTGCGCTCCACCTCCTCTGTAAAACTGGGGGATGACATACTGATGCAAGGCTTGCCCTCAATGAGTCTTCAGATCATGCACATTAACAAAATGTAAGTAATTCACGTAGCTGTCTTGTTCATTGCGCCGGACAAAGTCATAACTCCTGCACGCTCATGTAACCCGGAAGTGAAAGTGAAAAAAATCAAGAATCAAGCAAGAATAAATGAAAGCGTTGTTGTCATCATTGCTACACGATAACGGACACATATACAAATTAAGTGGGTACATAAATTAAAAAATAAATAATAGACAGAACGGTGCTATCTGTTTATCCTTCATCTTTTATTTTGAAAATTGAAACCTCTTTTCAAGATGGACATTTCCAACCAGCGCCTCCTAGTGGTCATGGACAACATTACAGTCACCTTACACATTCATGACGAAACATGTTTGCACAGAAGAGGCTGTTTTGCTTGCTAGTATTTATTTAGTTGTTTATACAAGATTTTGCGACATATAACTTTATATCCATCCATCCATCCATCCATCCATCCATCCATCCATTGTATCTGCTTCTCCTGTACTTGTCATAGGGAGCAAATGTCTAGCTCCAGCAGTCACTGCTGAAAGGCAAACCTGTAACCTTCTCGCTGTGAAGCAACAGGTCTAACCACTGAACCTCCGTGCAGCCCGTTATATTATTCCTTTAACCGATCTACCCACTCATCAACAGTGCATTTTTTTCTCTTGAATGGGAAGTGTAGCTTGTAGTATTTTTACTGATAATGTATTACACATATTACTATTGTGCCACAGAAGTCCCGAATTTTCCACTTTTTTTTTTTGTATCATTTGTATAACTTACTTCGGTAGTCTAAAATGCTTACTGATTTTTTTAAATGTTCTTTTTAATGTTTGTGTCTTGTTAATGTGTGATTTGCTTTTCTGTCTTATGTCATAAATAAAACAATAAATCAAGAAACTACACAAGATGGCATTAAATAATACATCAAAGAACACAATTTACAAACTGAGGAGAGTAGTCCTGAAGTTTTTGAATGGAAAAATGTCCCATTCTTGACTGATGTAATCTAGCTGTTCATTAGTCCTAGGCCTTCTTGAATTATTATTTATTTATTCATTTTTTGCTTTAACTTACAACAAATGTTTGTAATTGGTGACAGGTCCAGTTCAGCGTCTGCACTCTTCTATTACAAAGCTATGCTGTAGTAATTAAAGCAGTATGTGGTTTAGTTTTGTCTCGCTGAAATATGCAAGACCTTCCCTGATAAATACATGTTCTGAATGAGAGCATATCTTGTTCTGAAACCTGTTTAAAGTTTTCTCCATTGATGATGCCTTTCCAGATGTGTAAGTTGCCCATGCACTCCCATACCATCAGAGAGGCAGGCTTTTGAACTGTGTGCTGAAAAAACAGACTGCACAGTTCTTCTCCTCTTTATGGAGGATGTTGCATCAGAGCTTTCCAAATCAAACTGCACATGTCATATTTCACATATATAGATTCGTGGAAGTGTTCCTGAGCCCATGCAGTGATGTCAGAACAGAATCAGACCTGTTTCGATGCAGTGGCCCCTGAGGGTCCCAAGATCACGGACATCCAAAATTGACTTTCAGCCTCGACCTTTGAGCTCAGAGATTTCTGATGATTTTATGAATTGCACACAATGACAAAATAAATGTATTCCCTTTTTTGTTTATTGCAAAACACTTTGGTGAAAGAGTTGGACTATTTATACGCAGTTTTTCAGACTGTTGAACCTCTGCCCATCTTCACTTCTGAGAGAGTGAACCTTTTTAAAATGCTCCTTTTATACACAGACCTCTTAATGACCTGTGACAAATTAACACATTTAGTTTCAAATAGCTCCTCCTGTTTCCAGCATGGACCATTTACATTTACAGCCTTTTGATGTCCTCAGATGATCCAAAATGCTGCTGCCACAGATGTAATGAGAGTTACTAGGAGAGATCATCTCTCTCCAGTTTTAGCTTCTCTCCATTGGCTCCCTGTCAAATCCAGAATAGAATTCAAAATCTTACTTCTAACCTACAAAGCTCTCAACAACCTAGCTCCATCTTATATTACAGATCTTATTGTTCCATATTTTCCTAACAGAGCACTTTTCTCTCAAACTGCAGGTTTACTTGTGGTTCCTAAAGTTTCCAAAAGCAGAAGATCTTTCAGTTATCAGGCTCCTCTCTTGTGGAACCAACTTCCAGTTTCTGTCCCTGAGGCTGACACATTGTCCAGTTTTAAGACTGGGATCAAGACTTTCCTTTTTGATAAATCCTATAGTTAGGGTCGGCTTGGGTTTCCTGAGCTATCCCTTAGTTGTGCTGCTATAGGCTTAGACTGCTGGAGGACAAATTGACCACGAGTGGTGGGATGTAACTAAGTACAAATACTTCGTTACTGTACTTAAGTACATTTTTCATGTATCTGTACTTTACTTAAGTAGAGTTAAATGTGGGTACTTTATACTTTTACTCCACTACATTTTACATCAAGTATCTGTACTTTCTACTACACTACATTTCTATAATGTGTTGCGTTACAAGTTACATTCATGTTGCGGCTTTTTGATTTATTATTTACTTTGAAAGTAACCAATGGTGAGAGGGGAGTTGGTCCATTGAATCACTGCAAAGTGGGCAGGTAACGTTAGGCCCGACTTCAAGAAGAGCTGGACCAATGACATATACTGTATTCTAGTATATATGTCACTGAGCTGGGAGCACCCACAGCACCACTAACACACCTAAAATGTATTCCATCGTAAGAGAGTCATCCAGAAGATACGCTCCACCCATGTCCTTATTGAAAGACTGCTCCGTACAACAGGACAGATTCTCTCTCCCAAAAGAGCCAGACTGGACTCAAAAATCTTTGAAAACCAACTTCGTCTGAACTTGAACAAGAAATTCTTGCTGCACTATTAAAATGTGTCAGTTCATGGGATGTTAGGAGACAAGAGATGTCTCCAAATGTCTCGACACTCAGGTCCAAGTTTTAAAAATGGTGTCAGGAAGTTAAAATATTGTTCACTATTGACCCATTACAAGGTTGACTAGACAGTATTTTAACTAGAGTTGATGACAAACTGGAGTTGAAATGATCAGAGCCTGTTCCTTTGTTAGTTTGTTAGTTGTGTCTAATGCTCCTTTTTTCAGGCAGACAACTTTTACTTAAATGTGTTTACTGCAGTTAAAATGACACATTGGTTTTACTTTGTGTTAAATAAAAACTTTCAAAGGTAAAATCATTCCTCTTTCTTATTTTGATTAATGACATTTAACTCTGCATGTCATCCCTGAAATTCTGACACACAGAATCACAAGTCCAAGTGTGAACTGTGTCACAGAGTAAACACAATAAAAACATGTATTATCTGCAGCATCGTTCATTAAATTGGCTCAACACTATTAACGTATTACAGAAAATATACATACGGTACGCAGACTTATAGATATGTAGACCATTGCATTAGGTAATACATTCAGCAAGTACTTTTACTTTTAATACTTTAAGTATTTTAAAAGCAAGTACTTATTTACTTTTACTTAAGTAAAAATGTTAATGTGGCACTTCTACTTTTACTATAGTCCATTTTTGTCTGTTTATTTGTACTTTTACTTAAGTATAGTGTTTGAGTACTTTCTCCACCACTGTTGACCACATTCCTCACTCTGCTGCTGTATTTACTTACTCTGCTCCACCTGCTTGTATTTGTTTCTGTCTTAACATGTGTTGTTGGTTTTTTTATCTTTCCTCCTATAGAAAGCACACCTGGACCTGTCATTCTATGTTTGTCTGTTTCTCCTTCCTGTTCCTCTCAAATCCAGCCAGATGGCCACTTGTCCTGAGCCTGGTTCTGCTGGACGTTTCTTCCTGTTAAAAGGGAGTTTTTCCTTTCCACTGTTGCCACTGTGCTTGCTCAGGATGGGAGACTGTGATGAAGTGCAGATTCAACACACTCTGCTTCCTTAGTTAGAGAACTTTTACTAAATGTCTTCTGTATGCATGTGAATGTTTCTGTGCCCTGAGACGACTTCTGTTGTGACTCGGAGCTATATAAATAAACTGAATTGAATCAGCCCCTGTCTGAACTTGAGATGTGTCGCTGTAAAGCTCGGTAGTCAGCGCCTCAGTCTTGTAATCCTGAGGTTGTGATTTCAAGCTCAGATTGTGTCAGGGAGGACAATCAACATAAAACTATTCCCAAATCTTTCACGTGAGTTCCCTCACTGTGGCCACCGCCGCAGAAAGGAGCAGCTGAAACAACATGTTCGATGGTGAGGGTTGTGGTGGCTCAGTGGTTAATCCTGACTCTACAGGTTAGAACCCAGATCGCAGCAGAATGAGCCTCTGGTGTAAATCAATGCGTCTGCTTCCTGCTGTGACTTCTATACAAGAGAGCATCCAAAATAAAAATGACAACAATTGTAAATGAAATTTTAGTTTATGAAATTTGCAAATCATAGCTTTCTTTTTTTATATATATATTGTATACAACATTCTAGCATCTTCAGAAATGTCCTGAATCATGCTCAGTAATCCAGGTAGAGAAATCCAACGAAGTGAAGTCAGTTCTTCATCAGACTTGATGAATTCTTTTGGATGAATGACTAAATGTTTCAACAAAAACAAACCTTCCAGAATACCTGACTTATGTTAAAATATGCCAAAGCAACAGCAGGACTGTATACACAAAGAACTGAGCGTTTTAATGGCAAGCTGTGAGTGCATAACATACAATTTAAATAAAAATTAAATGACTGCTCAATGTGTTGATGTGGAGCTGTACTCAGAAAGTAATAGTCTTCTTTGAGAAGTGACTAAAAACCCACAAACATCAAATAAAGATACTGTACTTGTGTAAACAGTTTGGCTTGAACAATGTGGCGCAGTAGCATTGCATGAAGCCTAGGTGATGCTGCTGCTCATGTAATCTGACAGCGAGCACTGGAATCATCTCATCCTTTCCACACACTTGCATTTAAGTAATAAAATAAATAAATTAAACAGTGTAGATATGTCTAATGTCTACTGATGCACCTAAACACAGAGGAGGGTTTTAGTCTCTTTCCCCATTTATCCTGGTAAATTTGTTGCCTAACAGAAAGAATCAGACTGAAATGAGTTTTGTTTGGTCTATGCTGTGTGGGCGATGGAGTGTGGCTTCTGGGACAATCTGAGATGAAACCAGTCTCAATGTGGGTCAATTAAACAAATCACCTGGCGTTATTTAGACCTCTGAAGTAATTCCAAGCTTAATATAATGAGACATACTTGTAGATGACCTGTCTGTCACACAGATTCACATCCTCTCTGCCAGTCATCGTCATGTTTTTCTTTCATCTGCGTCTTTAATGGGTCTCCTCATCTGTTCATGTGTCTCTATATATCCACTGTACCTCATGTCCAAATATCTCAGCCTCACCTCTCTAACTCTGTCTACAAACAGTTCAACCTCTTGTACACTCATTTCTTCCTCATCTCCCCTTCCGCCCAAAACAATAGGTTAGATGACTGAACTCAGACATGATTTAGCATTGTTAAACAAAACGTGAGCTACTGAAGTCCAGCATGACATGGCAGCAACAATTTCTGCTTTAAATGACCTTTAATGTTCAGTTTTTGTATAAACTATGTGCAAAACAGAATTAGCATCTATCGAACTGTCAGTAAGGCAGGGATCTGCTACATGCCATAATAGTTTGATCATGAAGAACAAACAGAAACGTAAGAAGATGTATGTAAAGGGCCACACACTGCACTTATAATAAACTGGGCATGTGAATGAAACTAAACAAACATTTAACAAATGCCCCAGTCAGTGAGCTGCAGTATAAGTTTAGGTGTATGTAAAGCAATGGGTCTAAAAAATAAAACTACGCCTCAAATACTGTTTTCTATGAGTTGATGTTTGTTGATTCATATAGTAACTTGTTCTTTTTTTTCTTCAAAACGGAATAAAACTTTATTGCCATTGTTTGAGGAACAATAAAACACGTTTGAGAAGCTTTAGTGTTGGCCAAAGACAAGGAATGAAATCAGCTGAAAATTTAGGCTAAAAGAAAATAGAACAAAAGGAGGTTCTAAAGGAACAAAAGAACAGTCCAGTTTCTGTCTCTTGACTCCGACTGCAAAGAGGAGAGGTTGTGCATTTAACAGATTGAGGATAAAAACCGTTTTTAGTCCGTTTGCAGCTCTGAGGTGTTTGTATCTCCTTCCAGAGAGCAGTAGTGAGAACAGGTGACGTCCAAGGTGAGTGTGGTCTTCCAGAATACAACTGGTTTTCTGCCACTCTCACCACCTGCTGCAGGTCTTTTCTGTCCTCTGTAGAGCAGCTAGAAAACCACAGTGCACGGCTGTAGTTCAGAAGGGTATCATTGAGTGGCGAGAAACATCAGCTTATTTTAGCTTATCAAGGAAATAAACTCTCTGCTGGGTCTTCCCTACCTGATGGGGAGAGGTGATCTAGGAGAGATCGGTTGAAATGTGTTCCAAGAGAGACCTAAGAACTTGAAGGTCTTAACTCTCTTTATCTTTTGCCGAGTATGGAGAGGGAGTGTTCAGTGTTCTCTGATCTCCTAAAGTCAATCATCATTTTTTTGTTTTTTTAAATTCCAGGTTTTTTACTGAACAGTATTTTGTCGGCTGTGGAACCTTCTCCCTGTAAATGGTAAAGGAACTGTAGTTATACATCACCTTTCTATCTGATCAAGACACTCAAAGTGCTTTACAACACAACCTGTGTCCTCATTTACCCATTCATACAGCACTCTACTAGATCTATTCAAATAATAATCAGAGCTTTATCACATTCATACACGGATGGGACACATATCAGAGGCAATGAGGGGTTCAGTGTCTTGCCCAAGGGCACTTCAGCATGTGACTGCAGGTGGTCTCGAACCCCCAAGTCTCGCATTGGAGGATGACTGCTCTAACCAGTCAGCCAATATGCCACCTTATAAGCTTTCTTTTTGTTAGTTATCTGTTGTAATATGGCAGTACTGTCAGCAATTTCACAATGATGTTACAGAGGTGGATGTAGGAATAATCATGAGTGAAGAGTAATTAAAGAGGCTGAGGACACACCCCTGTGGTGCGCCTTTGCTCAGAACAAGAGTGGATGATCTGTGAGTTCTAATCCTGACATCCCGTGATTGTTTTAGTGGTAATTAATTATTGAATGCTCTAAAAACACCATAACTATGTGTGGGTTAGTAGGTGGGATTTATTGTTCCACATCTGTAGTGCATGTACTCTGGCTCCTAAAATATGAAAAACCAATCAATCAGAACCTTATTTATACACAACTTTTCATACAAAGTACAACACAGCAACACAGGGTACGTTATAGGGAAAAGCTATGTTTAAAACTCAATTAAATGCATGTAAATGAGATTTTTGGCTTCACTTCTGCACAACAGAAGTAGACAGAGCCGCTTCATCAATCTTTATAGTCTTTGATTAAGACTGGTACCAAACAATAAAATGTTTTGTATTTGTATGGCACTAAAACAACGACCGTCGGTCTCAACAATTGAAAGTTAGTACATTAGTTTGTCCTGGACTGACCTTAAACGGAAGTTGCTAGATTTATAGGTTAGAACTTGAGCCATTGATGTTCCAAAGTATTGATCGTTGAGTAACTATATTAAGAAAATCAATAAATGTTTGTCCTGAAATAGAAAATAGCGACATTCAAAAACTCAGGTTGAGCCTGCATGACTAGTGTCCCATTCTGCACCCCTCCCTCACACTAGTCATCCCCATTAGGTCTGGATAAACCTTTTCCAGGGGGAGCCAGCCTCTGCCAGTCCAACCGAACGCTCAACCAGCTGGAGTTAGTCGCTTTCACACTAAAGGAGAGTGTTCAGCCAAAAAGACCAGACCTCCTCATCGGTGGACATGATTAACTACAGAACTTGTTGTGGGTTTTCTAGGAGGAAAAACCTGCTCCTTAGTCTTTTTAATTGAACAGCAGCAGCAGGAAGAGCCCACCAGCTCAACACGGATCACAGGGCAGGAACAATGTGAGTTTAAATTGCAACACAGCACATGCCAAGCAAGGCTTATCAAAGTTTGAAAGGTGTGTTCAGCTTATCTACAAGACGGAGAAGTGCCTGTTGATGAGAAAGCTGCACATCCCACATTCCTCTGATGCCTCCCAACCTTTCCACCTTATATGAGTGGAGGCAGCGATTCTGTACCTGAAGCTCAGGTGAGCTCTGCGCCAAGGAAGGATGAACTCACTCCACCAGCCTGAGGTGAGCACAAAGATAAGAACTGGATACAAGAGTGTTTTATTCAAGGTTTAGGAATTAGACCTAAGCAGCGAATGAATGAAGATTATTTCCGGTGTGGCGAGTCTGTACCATCGATTTAACTGTGATTTTGTGGCAGTGAATGGAATTTTACTGCAGCCACAGCATGTGACAAGATCAATAAGCTGGCATGTGATGAACACTGTGTGCATGTGTGTTCCTCTGTGTTCATATTGTTTCAAATTAAAGTCTATCACTGCATCGTTTGTGTTGCTCATCTGTTGTCCCTACTTGTTTGCTGCAACTGAGAATATTTTGGGTGATAAGAAAACAAGCTTTTTATAAAATACTAATGAACCTGTGGACAAAGACACAGCTTTGAATATGTGTTTTATTCTTTTTTTTTAGCCGAATGTCGCTCAGGATAAAAGTAAAGAAGACCAGGATGAGGAAAGTGGGGATAAATACAAAGGTCTTCTTTTTACCTGTACAGATTTTAAAGCAAATTATTTGACCTTTCACCATTTTACAAACACAGTAAGTGTTAACTGCTTTCAATATCTTGTTGGTTCTAGATGTCAAGACAAGTCCTACACATTCCACCATGGCCTTGGCTGAGGAGGATTCAGAGGAGCCAGACCCCTGGGATCTGCCAGAGCTGCAGGACACAGGTGTCCCGTGGTCAGGTGAGAACTCAAACAGTCCCGCGCTCAGAAAGAAATCTGTTCACGTTCGGTTTAGCAGAAATCCATGTCCTGTAAATGCAAGATGCTTCTTAAAACTTCTAAAAATTAATGCAAATAAAAATACTATTAATGAAGCTTTAAAGCAGATTTTGAACTATTTTTTTTTTTTTTGCTTCCATCACAATTTTTGATTCACCTCTCTGCCAGCGTGGGAAACCAATGCAACCATCAAACTGTGTGGTGGGATTGGGAATCGTGTTGTGCTTGTTGGTATTTGGTACAAGTTTGGTCACAGAAAGTTGGACTTTTAAGCAACTTAACTGTGTTTTTAATATATTCAACTGTTCATTATATTTTAAGAACTTACCAGAAATCGCAAAACTTAAAGTGATATCACTTTTCATCAGTTTAAACTTCCCAAATCTTTTTACAAACTCCGATTCCCACACATTCCTTTTACAGATGAAACATTGTTGTCTTCTTTGGATGGACGAAACAGAAGCTTGTGGTCTTCAAACATTGATGTGCGTGAAGACCACAAGCTTCTGTTGTTTCTGGTCAAGTTTGAACTCAGTATGATGTTTTAGTACAGTAACAGTTTGTCTGAGAAGTATTTTCTAGAGTTATTACGAGTGCTGCTGCGAGCGACAGACTTGTGTCATCACTAATGAACTACCGGCAGCTGCTTTATTGTTTTTTTATTTTGGTCTTGCTTCTTTTCACTTCTCATACAGTTCAAACCATCAAAAAAGGTATTTTGTCGTCTTAGATTATCATCATAGAAGTAAGTCTTAAAGTATTATTGGATTTTATAGAAGAAGGTTGGTTTTAGTTTGGAGTGTCTGCATCAGCATCCGTCAAAATGTCTCCAGAAATGTTCTAGTTTGATTTTTGTTAATAAAAATGCACATATGCTGTATCTTGAAAATTTCTCCCAGGATTTCATGATTGTTTCCAAGAATAATACATCAGTTACTATTCTAATTATTTGGAAAACAATTAAACATAATAAATGATAGGATTCATGTAGTAGTCACACAAACTGCTGAGTCTGTGCCAAGATGTGACGGTCCAGATGTGTGAGGGTGCGACAAGCCGAGGTGCTTTCTCTCTTGTTTACAACGGCAGCAGGAAAGGTCAAGTCTGAATGCAGAAAATAATAATTATGAATTATGTTACTAATAGCTATGCAAAAATAACATTTTATGCATCTCACACAACTAAAAACAGTCTCATTTTACCTCTGAAGCATGTTTTTTTTTGCAAACATGTCACAAAAAACTTTTTTTTAAATATTACAAAAAAACATGCAATCCATTTTTAATCTAGCCCCTTCCACACAGTTTCCATCCATCCATCCATCCATCCATCCATCCATCCATCCATCCATCCATCCATCCATCCATCCATCCATCCATCCATCCATCCATCCATCCATCCATCCATCCGTCCATTATCTTTACCTGCTTCTCCTTTCTGGGTCACAGGGATTGTCTATCTCCATCAGTCCCTGTGCAAGAAGCGGGAGACAACCTGGACAAGTCCATTGCAGAGACACAGAGAGACAAATAAGACAAACCACCGTTCACACCCACACGGACCATTTAGTAATGAACCTAATGTACATGTTTTTACTATGTCGGAGAAAACTGGAGTATCTGCGTTCATGGAGCGAACACACAAACTCCAGCCAGAATGGCTCGAAGGCTAACCGGCGACCTTCTAGTTGAGAGGCGACAGCTCCACAAACTGTGCCACCGTGCTGCTCTTGCACACAACTTCACTCATAAATTGGCCCTTGCTTTTGGTCGTTTCAGCTCTGGATACCAAGGGGAAGGTGCTGAGAGTGCTGGTGTCAGTCATAAAGTTTATACTGCTGCTGGGCCTCCTCTACATGTTCATCTGTTCCCTCGACATCCTCAGTTCAGCTTTTCAACTCGTTGGAGGTAAACTTGTTTCATGCCTGGGACGCATTTGCAAATATAATATTGAGCTAATAACGTGCATGTAACAGCTTGTTCATTAAAACAATGTAAGGTTGTCTGGGTGTTTCATTGTTGGATGACCCACACTTTTTACCCCGTACAGGTAAAACGGCAGGTAACATCTTCCAAGACAGCTCCATTTTGTCCAATCCGCTGGCTGGTTTGGTCATCGGTGTTCTGGTTACTTTGCTGGTCCAAAGCTCCTCCACCTCCTCATCTATAGTTGTCAGCATGGTCTCCTCTGGAAGTGAGCATGAAACACTAAAACTCACAAAAGAATACAGACAAATGATGATGAAGCTTCTGTAGACTGATGAAGGAGCTCTGTGTCCTCTGACAGTTTTAACAGTTCAGGTGGCTGTTCCCATCATCATGGGCACCAACATTGGCACCTCTGTGACAAACACGCTGGTCGCCATGACGCAGGCTGGTGACCGCAGCACCTTTCGCAGGTAAAAGCTTTATCTTTCACAGAAAGACTTGTTCTCAGTTTATTATAAAAAATGAGAGAAAGCAAATCTTGAAAACAATTCAGAAGTGTGGCTATGATATATATATATATATATATATATATATATATATATATATATATATACACACACACACATAATAATACACTAATCACACTAAATAATTGTTGAAATATATCATCTTTTATATATAAAAAATAAAACCCTTCAGTCTTTGGATAAAAGACGAAATGCTTCATCAAAGAAGAACCCGTCCAGAAGACCTGACTCAACCTTGTTAGATGTATCTACCTGGATTATTGATCCTGCAATTAAAAGCTAATTAAAGACAGCATCCTTTCAAGGAGTGCATGTTGCCCACTGCCTTTCATGCTAATGCTTTAAAGTAAAATGATCTTCTGTTATGAATGATGGTGATGTGCAGGTTTGATTTGGTTCAAACCTTTAAAAAAGGTCTCACACAAAAGCACCAGATCTCACACTCATGGTTTATGTTTGTAGTGACTATCAGCTAGTAGAACGTCAAATTCTGGCTCAACATCTATAAAATTAACTTCTATATCTATTTTTATGTTGGCTAATGTTGATTAGCTGTGAGCAAAAGTCAATTAGTTATAGATATACATTCAATAGCACAAACTGTTTAACATTTTATACTGTTTTTTTAACATTTTATATTTTTGTTATTGTTGGGTGTAACTGGGACCCTGTGCACATAATTTCATTCCACCTCATGTACCACATGTGATGAGAATGACAAAACCCTACTTGAACTTGAACGTAAACAAAAATGGCAGCAAACACTAGTTTGTCTCCAAGCTGCCTCTGTTCATAAATCACTGATGAGCCGACCACGTCCTGCACAGATGTGAGCTTTCAGAAATAAAGCAGGACTTCCTGGACTCAGCTGTGTTGATGCGGACAACTACGCAGTAAATATGTGAGATGCTCACACATACTCATAGTGTTTTAAAAAGAGCATTTCACGGAACTTGCCACCAATGAGTAAATAAAAGAAAAATAAAGTCACGAAACCCTCACCATGCTCTGACACTGTTTAAAAATACTTTGTCCATCCTGAGACCTTCCTCCACCGATCAGTCTGTAAATCAACTATATTTGGTCTTGCTTCGTCTGAATTCTGTCGTCAGTCAAAAAGCAAGAAAACCTTTTCACCTCTTCATAGTACCACGGATTTTATGGATGTATTATAAATATTAAAAAAGAGTTGATAGTACAAACAAATGCTGCTGTTGCGAGGTTTAAAAAATGGCACGTTTGATTCTTGTGAAGGAGACTTTCTGGCCAACCTGCAGTCTGTTGACGTTGAATCTTCAGCTCAACTCGGCTCGCTTGGAGTCAGAGTATTTCTGAGAACAGAGCTGAAAGTGGGTGGGACCACCCAACGGAAAGACTCTGGACCCGCACTGAATGGACCCAAGTACGACCCAGTGGAGCCTTTTTACAAGGGCCAATACCACACTGAATTAACTCAGCGCAGCAATTCTCTTTATGGTTAGTCTGTTTAAAAAAAATAAAATAATAATAATGGGCATCGTCAGTGAGCTTCTCATCTATAATGAACCTGTTCATTGATTTTTGGGCTTTAAAGTCCTCTGTATTTACCTTAAAACATGCAAAAGCAAAAACAGCACATCAGAACATATGACTCGTTGTTTAAATAAAATATATTAAATATAGGTCTTGGAAACGGTCATCAAGAACTAGAATTATAAAGTAAAAACTTTAGAATAATCAGATGTCTTTTTTTCACCTTTCACCCAGAGCTTTTGCGGGGGCCACTGTCCACGACTTCTTTAACTGGCTGTCTGTACTGGTGCTGCTGCCTCTGGAAGTGGCCAGTGGTTATTTGTACGTTCTCACTAAACTCATCACGGACTCATTTCAAATCCAGAGTGGAGAGGCCCCAGACCTGTTAAACGTCATCACTGACGTCCTCACAGAGTCCATTATACAGGTAAGAAATCACATTAATATAATCATTAATATAGTAATCTTTTACTTGTCCGGACTGTTCTTCATGTATTGGTTTGAACAGTAGAACATTAGAGCATAAAAATGAAGCACAATATCAAAAACAGTTTTTTATGAGGAAAATGGTTTGCAGTGCCCTGAAAGGTTTCTGGGTGATTCAAACTAACATTGGATACTTAATACTTTCAATTACTGGGATTTTGTTGTTTTCATGTCCTCAGCTTTATCACAGTGATAAGGAGCCATTATAAAAGGTTGTTATCTTTCTCGTGGATGAACTCAGTTCTTCTCTTTGTCTTCCTGACTCAGCTAGATGAATCTGTCATTAGTGAAATAGCCACTGGAAACCCAGAAGCCCAAAACAAGAGCCTCATCAAGAAATGGTGCCAAACCTACACCAACACAGTAAGACATGTACAAAAATGTAAAATATACTATTCGTACCTGGTACGGTGACAAATTGTTAATAAAATAATCTGTGTCTGTCACTGTGTTTTTAGACATTAATGAACGTCACGGTTCCAGGTCCAGAGAACTGTACGTCTCCCTCCCTCTGCTGGTTCGATGGCAACAGCACCATCACGCTGAAGAACGTATCTGAGACTTATGACATCAAGAAATGTAGGAACAGCAGCATAAAGTGGGAACATTTTTCACTGTATTAGAGAGAAAAAACTGTATAAAACATCTAAATAACATTTATTATCACAGAAAGTGTCCTATTAAGGACACAACTCATTTCAACAGTACCTACAAGCAGCAGTAGCATTTTTCTCACAAGGATAGATGCTAACAAATATGTTTTTAGCTGTAGCACAAAAAAGGAGAACAACAAAATACAGAAGAAATAGTTTGCACTTGTTCTTGTTAACAAGCTTGCGTTAGCACTGCAGTACAGTAAGCGACTGCTTTTCCTAAAGGAATGTGTGTTTTGTTCCTTTTGACATTGGAAGTCAGAAAATTCAAGTTCAAAGTCAGAAAAATACACTGTAATGACCTCAAAATTAGAATTTTACCTCAGAAAGGAGAAAATTTCTGACAAACCCACCTCAAAACAATATGGCTGTCTCACACAATAAAGTAGGATAGCTACTGTAAATGAAAAACAATATATTTTAGTTTGAATCCCATTAATTCAGTCAGACACAAAGTGTTGTACCTTCTAGGATACATGTTACAGTGTTTGAATACAAAGAATGTAGACAAATACACAGTTTTTAGCTTGTAGTGGTAATAGGTTAGCCTGGTTACTGCGCACGTGTTGAATTAGAAAAGTCGCAGCCCCATTACTTTAAAACTAAGATTATGACTTGTGGGATTCAACAAAGTTCAGTCATGTCATCTGGACAGTTTCTTTTTTTGTTGTTGTTGAGATGTTTCGTCCTTCATCCAAATGTCCTGACTGAACTTTGTTATATTTTTTTACCTTGATTATTGAGCATGAACTTTTGTTTATAATTTATAGGCAGATAAATAAAGTTAATAGTGTGTTATGTTGGTATTGCTAATAATGTTGCTAATAGTAGCTATTAGAAGGTAGCAGTTCTGTTTGGACATGTCTGTGAAAGGCCCAAGATAAATTTTACACTGTTGTTGATATACATATGAAAGTTTTTGTTCCAGTGTGTGCTACCACTTCATTTGCCTGTTTGTGTCACTATGTAATACATGGTGTATAAGTGTGTAAGATCTGACTTTTTATTCCATGTTCCACTTTTGTTTGTGTAGGTCAACACCTTTTTGTGGATGTGAACCTGTCTGATTTGGCAGTGGGGCTGATCCTGCTGGCTCTGTCTTTGCTGGTTCTATGTTCCTGTTTAATTCTCATTGTCAAGTTGCTCAACTCCATGCTGAAGGGACAGGTTGCTGCAGTCATCAAAAAGATCCTCAACACCGGTGAGCAGTGCCCCACACTGGTTACTCAGTCAGCTACTTGCGATGGGGTCTCTCTTGTAAATGAGGCCCCGAGGCTCATTGGGATTAACCTGTATAAATAAAGGTTGAATGAATGAACTGATGAGCAGAACGTTAATGTGCATGTTCACACGTGTGTGCAGATTTCCCATTTCCATTTGGCTGGGTCACAGGTTACATTGCCATCTTAGTTGGTGCTGGAATGACTTTTATTGTGCAGAGCAGTTCAGTGTTCACATCTGCCATTACTCCACTCGTTGGTGAGGTCAACCATTCATCTATCTTATTTGTTTGTCTCGTTTATGATTCTGTTACTTAAATGTAAAAATGAAGTACAAGAATGATACAAGAAGTGATGTTATGAGCATTCACATTTTAACCAGTATCTGTTTTGGTTGTATAGGTATTGGTGTCATCAGCATAGAGAGGGCGTACCCACTGTCTTTGGGCTCAAATATTGGGACCACTACCACAGCTATTCTGGCAGCCATGGCGAGTCCTGGTGACACGTTGGCTGATGCTCTACAGGTGAGAAATCAGTTCAGAAAGGCTTGGTTACTGTTACAATATCTGATAGATTATGCATTCAGTTAAAAAATAAATAAATAAAAGAAAGAAAGCCTGGAAACTAAATTAAAGTGGTGTGACTAAAACTTACACTATGAGCATTAGCCTAAATGACATTGTTGCTAAAACATGTTCATTACGGTTAAAACACTGAGTATGACAGACAAAACTGGTGACTTTTGAAGGGCTTTCAAAAATGACTATCATTTAGGAAATACAGTTTTTTTTTCTGACACAAAAATGTACCATAAAAATTGCTTAATTACATGGAAATAAGAAAACAGGGGTTAATTTAACCATTGTTTTGGAATAAAGTTGTTAGGTAGTTGATGAAATAATTTTAGGTAATGGTCACCCAAGGTTGAATTTAAGTAACCTTAACATTTTTTAACTATCAGTCATTAGACATTTAATTTAAACAATAATAATAATAAAAAAATAATAATTTAAACAATCAAAAAAATTAACTTTATAATTTATAACAATGAGCAACAAAAAAAATATTGTCATTTATTAATTACTGTTTGCTGCTAACCTTTATAAATTGTGATTCTACGTGAAGGAACAAATTGGAAATTAGTATAAAATTACTAACTTCTTGTCTACTGATGCTTTAGAGAATCATTTACAGTTTTTAAAGGCCTCAAGTACTGATACAAAGTACACGTTATACACTAATGATACTGTACCTCAATAACACCTGCTGATTACATATCCTACTTGTGTTCCTTGAAGTTATGTGAATTATCATATTCAGTAGTTAATGATTATAGAACCATATAGTAATCATTAAGTTAACTTTTTGTATCCCTTGGGGAAAGTGAAACATGACACACAGTAGATAATTTGTATTAATACATTAATTTCTATTACATAATAATTAAATTCTTAATTTATTTTTCTTCAAGTTATGTGAGGCATCATACTAATTACTGAACCATTAATCCATCCTTATCTGACCATTACCGGGTAGTTTCTATTGCATCTCAGTAAATGAAATAAAACCATGATGGGACTAGTTTGTGTGTTAATGATTACTGGGCCATTATTTTAAATCATAACTTCACCATTTGTTTATTCTCACCGTAGACTCATCAATAACTGTTATTGCCTACATATTTGTTGTTTTAATTATTTATCCAGTAGTATTTCATCCAAGTTCCTGAACTAGTTTCAACAATTGGGAATTAATGCACCTATTGCTTAATGTTGCCCAATCCACTGTGCACCAGGCCACCAGGTGCTCACTTATAACCCTCTCTGATAAGTCTGGCTGCATAGAGAAACCCACGGTATGGCTAGTCCTGGCAAGGTATCTTGGGCCCTCATTATAATGAGGAGTTTTGATTTGTGATTGTTTAACCCATCACCCAGATCCATTTTGCTGTAGGAGAAAATAACAGGAGCAAACTGTCCCAACTGTATAGCTTCCGGGGTCCTTGAGACACAAACATTTCCACCACAACAAACTGGTCATTCAAAGGTGAATATGAAGCAACCAGAAGGAAGATCAGCACCTATGGTACAAATCTGAGGTCATCGTCCTGGTAAAGGGTGGATGACCACGTCGAGGTTGAGCTATTGTCCCAAGTGGAAGAGTTCAAGTATATTGCAGTCTAGTTGCCAAGTTTGGGTAGATTAGAATGTGATAGGTGGAATTGGAAAAGGGTCTGCATTGATGCAACCACAGCACCAGTCTGTTGTGGTAAAGAAAGAGCTGAGCCAAAAGGTAAAAGCTGTCAACAAACCAGTCAATCAATTGTCTAACCGTCATCTATGACCGTTAGCTCTGGGTAGTGACTGAATGAATGAGACTGTAAAAACAAGTGGCTGACACACCCATATAGAGAAGGGGAGGCTTTTAGCTTTTTGAGAGGCTTAATTTACACAAAGCTTTTTATCAAGTGAAATCAGAACAATTCAGTTATATTTTGGCTATTTGTCTACACAACAACATCAATCAAATTCTCAGACAAAGACACTTTTAAAATCCTGGTCTCAGAGTGGAAGTTTTTCAAAACTTCTGGCATTGTTTTGCAGGAATATGCAATTTGCCTGAAAGTGAATGTGCTTGCAGTCAGTCAGTAGTTTAGGAATGGCTACAAAATAATTTACAAGGCCCTAAACATTCCCAGGAATTCTATTAAATTCATTATCTAGAAATGGAAGCTTATAGGAGGACATATTTATACAGTATCTAACAAGAGCAAGTTGTCCTCACAAGCTGCCAATGCGCAAGAAAGAAAAGACTGAGAAGCCACTTAAGACACCTGTGACCACCCTGGATGAGTTGCAAACTTCACCAAGTGGGACAGGAGACACATGCATACAGCAACTATTGCATAGGTTCTTCGTCAGTCTAAGGTCATAGGACGGACAGTGGCAAAAATAAAGTCACTGTTGAAGAAAACATATTAAATCTCAGCTAAAGTTTGCCAGTTGTGGGTTTACATCTAGGCTCATCACACATGTGTTGTTGACATGTAGAGCATGATGAGGGCACAGGAAAGCGTCCTGAGGACATAGAAAATTGATGAAAAATAACAATTTAGTAATCAAGGTTTTTCAGATTTGCTGTGATCTAGCCTTGTTTTGAAAATCAGCCTGTTTTTCCCATCCATCCATCCATCCATCCATCCATCCATCCATCCATCCATCCATCCATCCATCCATCCATACATACATACATACATACATACATACATACATACATACATACATACATACATACATACATACATACATACATACATACATAC